AAGAGCGAAACTCCGTCCCAAAAAAAAAAAAAAAAAAGTGAGAGTAGTAAGAGAAGCTGAAAGGGCATCAGAAATGAGATGAAATAAATGGTATGTCCTGATGTCTATTAGAATATGGCAGAGTAAAATCAGTACTTCCCCCTTCTCTTCAAAATCACCCAAAAGCAAAGAGCAATAAAAAAACTCAGAAAACTCCAACCTTCATAAAACTACAAGACATCTATCACTCAAACTACAGACAGATTAAAAAACTTGCCAAAGTGCAGATCAAACAGGAATGTGGGAGGAAAGAGCAGAGAGAACCACCTACTCAGGGATACCAGCTCACAAATAATCATCAGGCTCCAATGAAAGGCCAAATCGAAAATCCTTTGTTTATAATTACACTTAAGTGAAGCACATAAACTGGTATAAGGAGAATCTCTGAACCAGATTTGGTTACAAGAAGCAGAGAAGTACAGATTAAGAAGATATCACACAACACTGCCATATTCATAGAAGGAAGTCATGTTTGTGTGTGGTAGGGGTAAAAAGACACTGCACTGTAAACAGGCCTATTGCAGCTTCTAGGCTGGGGAAATGTAGTAGTTAAAATAAGCCCCCATACACATAACCTTGAGTCATGAGAAAAGTGCTAGTTATCCTTGGACAGAGCCCAAGGATCAGATTTGAATTAAAATACTCACTAAGCAGTTGGTACTAGCTAAAAATTGAAACCAAATATATATCCAACAATAAAAAAACAGATAAACTCTGATACCAGTCTAAGAATAGAATAAACAACATGGCTGAAAGAAATGAACTACCGTACATACATGTAACCACATGGATAAAACTCAAAAACACATTGTTGAACAAAAAAAGCAAGATGAAGAATAATATACATAACGTGAGGTCATTTATATAACATATAATAGGATTCAAAACAATTATACAATCATATGTAATAACAGCATAAAACATAGATGGGAATAATAAACACCCAAATCAGGATAATAGTTATCTTTGCAGTTGGAAGCAGAGGAATGGCACCTGAGAGGGGTACTAGGGACTTCAAGTGTACCTGCGACATATCATTTCTTTTCTAAAAATCTGACGCTACTAAAGCAAAACTGTTAGAATATGTATTCATCATATTATCCGCTCCAAGTTATCCTCTATGCTTGCCTTTGGAACCAAGTCACCATATTGTGAGGAAGTACAAACTAGCTCACACGTAGAGTCCTCACAAACAGGCCCACAGGGACAAAGTTTACAGTGCCTAGTCTATAACCAGCATCAACCACCAGAGACATCTTGAGTGAACAAGCCTTCAGAAGAATCTAGTCCAAGCTTTTTAATATTCCAGCTGAAGCCCCAGATATCATGGAGCAGAGACAAGCTGTCTCTGGCATCCAACTCCTTGGTTTGTTATGAGTATAAATAAATCATTATTTTATGATACTAAATTTTGGGATAATTTGTTATAAAGCCCTAGCAAAGTGGAATACCCAAATATTAAACTGACTATGACTGAAAAGAAAATATATGCAGTACCTATCGTAAGGTCTCAGCCTTGCTTGCGAAATTTACAAAACTGCTATAGCTGTAAACTTAGTTTAGTGGTATATATAGTTTCTTACCTCCAAACTTCCAGAATGTGCTGCCCAATGTAAAGGGGTAAACTTATGGAGAACATCAACTTCATTAATGCTGGCTCCACGTTCCACTATTTCTGAAAGCTGCTTTATATCTCCAGCTCTTACTGCATCATGTATTCTGCCAAAATGTACCTTCTTCCTGGAACCTATTGAAAAGTCAAATTACTTACAATGTACTATAAAACTATGAAAGAAAAAAAAAAAAACTAAAACAATGGTCCAATAGAAAGCACAAAATCACTTTATTTTCAAATAATTTACTACAAAGATGTTTGTCATTAATATCTTAAACAGACTTCTGGTTCCAACACTGACATGTAAAAAGCAAAAAGTTGATAATCTCATCCTTTTTTTTTTTTGAGACGGAATTTTGCTCTTGTTACCCAGGCTGGAGTGCAATGGCGCGATCTCGGCTCACCGCAACCTCCGCCTCCTGGGTTCAGGCAATTCTCCTGCCTCAGCCTCCTGAGTAGCTGGGATTACAGGCACGCGCCACCATGCCCAGCTAATTTTTTGTATTTTTAGTAGAGACGGGGTTTCACCATGTTGACCAGGATGATCTCGATCTCTTGACCTCGTGATCCACCCGCCTTGGCCTCCCAAAGTGCTGGTATTACAGGCTTGAGCCACCGCGCCCGGCCGATACTCTCATCCTTATAGAGAAAAAGGAATAAACTGAAAAAGAACAACTTTTCTTGGACGCATCAGAAAACTGGGGTCTCAGGGCAAATTGCCACCCCCAAATCTGGAGAGACAAATACAGAAAAATATAAACCTGGAGCAGAAGCACTGGAGCCAAAAAGTGGTAGAAGCACTTCCATGGTAATTTTGATGACTTGCCAGAGGTTGAGTACGTAGTAGCCAAAGAATGAGAAACTTCTAGGGCCCACAGTCTTCCTTATGGAGCCACTACACTTTCAGAGATTTTTACCTTCAGAAACCTCACTAGGTTACCATTGTGAAACGCCAGGAACTCATGTCTTTGGCAGAGAGAAGGGGAAAGTACCTATTTTGAAATATGCCCAACGTGTTCTCCATAACGAAGGCCTCCCTAGTGAAAAAGACTTCACCAGAGCCTCATCTCATAGATGCAGATGTTTCTTATATTTCTAATTTATGTATTACGCTAAGAAAGGAATGGTAGGCCACAATTTTTCATTCATTTACTCTTAGTGCTTCATATTTTATAATTTAATTAATAAGCAATGTGAACCAGAGGCAATAAAGGCATCTAAGCATGAACAGACAGCTATTAGAGAAGGATGACTGAGTAAGCAGTTCAACTGCAGCATTCTCTGAACAAAACAGGCATGATTCCTGACCTGAAGCTGTTTTGAAAACAGCTCACCAACCCTCCTGGCAAATGATCTGTGCAACCTTGTACTACAGTTTATGTATGTACATGTTATCTCTACAATCAGAATGTTAATTTCTTGAGGGCAAAAATCATATTTTATACTGGAATTATATCTTACTCTTACTATATCTTTTTATATACTCTATTTATATCTTTGCTCCTACCAAAATGCTATAAATGTACTCAAAAAGCCTTTCTGAACATCTACTATGTGCCAGGTACTATGATAACATGATAGAAAATGGACAGGGATTTAATACTTTTTTTCCACCAACACATTAAAATCTATTTGGATAACTACACAATGAAAATAAAAACCTGACAGCAATGTCCTCAGAGAGTACAGGTAAAATTAAGGAGAAACAAAACAAGTCATAGAGGAGGAGGAAACATTTGAGCAAGAGCTTGAAGAAGAATTAAGATATATGGCAAATGGGAAAGAGAGCATATGTAAGGTGTGCACATGTACACATACACACACACACACCTTTAATAAGTGTTCAATGAGGCTGGGCACGACGGCTCACACCTGTAATCTCAGCATTTTGGGAGGCTGAGGTGGACAGATCATGAAGTCAAGAAATCAAGACCATCCTGGCCAACATGGTGAAACCCCATCTCTACTAAAAATACAAAAATTAGCTGGATGTGGTGGCGCACACCTGCAGTCCCAGCTACTCGGGAGATTGAGGCAGGAGAATCACTTGAACCCGGAGGAGGAAGTTGCAGTGAGCCGAGATCGTGCCATTGCACTCCAGCCTGGCAACAGAGCAAGACTCCATCTCAAAATGAATGAATGAATGAATGAATGAATGAATGTTCAATGACGTTAATCCCTAGGCTGGACCTTCCTTCTTCTCCTTTACAATAGCACAGCTAGACCTACAAATGATGTTCTAACCACTCTACTTATTTTACACAGAGACACTCCTCTAATCCACCTTATACAAATTATCCTGATGACTTCATGCCCCTACGCCAAACTGTTACTGGTTGTCCACTGCTATTCCACAAAACAAAATCCAAACTCTCAGAATGACCTCTATGGTCTCCCATAATTTGGCTCCACCTAATTTTATGGCCTTTTTTCTCACCATACTCCATCCTGATTCATTCACTCATCCACCCACCCATCTACTCAACATTAGTTTGGTGTCTACCATAAGGACAAAAAGATGAAGACACCCTCAAGGAACTCACAGATTAGTAAAGAAGATACAAACACAAAATACAAAATAATGTGGTAAAAACAATGATGGAAACAGTCGTAGGAACTTGTGAAAACGCAGAAGACTTCAATCTCAGCTAGGGCAGGAGGGAAGGGGAACTGAGAAGGATTCCTGGGGAAAGAAATATCTAAGATAGAATCTTCAAGGATTAACATGAGTTTGCCAAATAAAGCGGGAGCAGTGAAAGGCCTCCTAAACAGCTTGAACAGTGGGATGTGGTCAAGAAACGGCATACACACACAAAGACACACACACACACACACACACACACACACACACACACACACACACACACACACACACACACACACACACACACACAAACAATCCTATTACTAAAGCATTAAGGGGAAAAAGAGGCTAGAGCTAGGTAAGAGACAGACAATGGTGGAACTTATTTCTAAAAACTTGGACTTGAACAGACAGTGGAGAATCACTTAGGAATTTTAAACAGAAGAATTATAATGATTGAGATTTGTCAGGCTGAGTTTACAAGGCTAGATTCAGCGAAGATAATTTATTGAATGCACAGCAAAAAAAAGGCAAGACTAGAGAGTAGGTACATCATGTAAGAATACAGGTTTGGCCGGGCGCGGTGGCTCACGCCTGTAATCCCAGCACTTTGGGAGGCCGAGGCGGGTGGATCACGAGGTCAAGAGATCGAGACCATCCTGGTCAACATGGTGAAACCTCGTCTCTACTAAAAAAATACAAAAAATCAGCTGGGCATGGTGGTGCGTGCCTGTAATCCCAGCTACTCAGGAGGCTGAGGCAGGAGAATTGCCTGAACCCAGAAGGCGGAGGTTGCGGTGAGCCGAGATCGCGCCATTGCACTCCAGCCTGGGTAACAAGAGTAAAACTCCGTCTAAAAAAAAAAAAAAAAAAAGAATACAGTTTTACAATAGTCTAGACCAGAAAAACTGAGTCCCTGAACAGTGGGAACAGAAAAGGAGATAGATTTAACAAATATTAATAAAATTCGAATGAACTAAACTGGAATAGATACAGCAGGTGAAATAAGGGAAAAGTAATGAGACAACTCCAAGGTGTCTGGCTTTGTCATCTCAGTGCTGTGGTGCCATTAATTGAGACAGCAAACACTGAAGGACAGAGAGGATATATAGATAGAAAATTACATTTGGGACATGCTGCTCTTGAGGTACCCAAGGAAGATTTCCAGAAGGGTGACATATATTTAAGTCTGCAGCTCAGAGGAGAGATACGGAATTCAGGTCTCAGTGTTAGGTGTGTCTCTGCATTAGAATGCTTTTTCTGACACCCATACTCACCCCCTACTGGAACCAGTGGCACTCTGCCATCCTTTATAACACTCATCTCACTAGTCATTAGTTTTTCAGTATTTCTCTTCCTCACTAGAAGTTAAAGAACACACCTGTCTTCTTTACTGATAGTTCCCTAACACAGAACACAAAGTAGGCAGGCAGTAAATATTTACTGGATGGCTGAATGAGTAACATAGATTTGGGGGCCATGAGGAGTGAAGTCATAGTAAATGACAAGAAAAAGAGAACCAACGATGGCATCACCAAGGGAGAAAATCAGCATTTAAGAAGAGGGCAGAAGAAAAGAAAACAGCAAAGGAAAGGGTCACTCAATGGAGCAAAAGAAGAAAACTAAGTAAGTCTAATTTGTCATCTCCACAGGGTCAAATGCTGCAAGGAAGTCAACGAAGAACTTAAAAGGGTCCATAAGAGTGAACAAGAGTTGATGTCAATCTGGGTAAAAAGACTCGGAGGAATGGTGCAGATGGAAAAAAACGAAAGAAAGCTGAAACGAGATAGAATGGGGGAGAGGTGAACAGCTTTGGTTCACCCTGAAAACAGATTTAAAAGGGAAAAGGGGAGTGACCACTAATTAAAGGAAATGCCAGAAAGGGCTAAGACTGTTGCGGGCTGAAGTGAGAAAAGGAATGTGGCAGAGATGAGAGCCAACGAAACAGTGTGACTCACAGGGGTCTGCAGTCTCCCTAGAGGAAGTGGAGGGGCCTGAATTGGCCACCCCGGGCATGGTGCAACACCTCCGACTCTCGGGAGGAGTTGTGTCCAGTCCCCTGCTGCTGCGGCAGTCTTCACTTGCTCTCACCCACGAGCCACAGCAGCGGCAGCGGCTCTCTTCTCCGTCGTCGCTAGTACTGGCCCCACAGCCCTCTCCCGCTCTCTCCCAGGAGCTGCAGCGGAAACCTTCGTCTTCACCTTCTCTCTCCCAAAAACCACCGAGGCGGCGGCTGGCGTCTTCCCTGCCGCTCACACCGGAGGAGTCGCTGGCTATGTAGCCGAGGTCTTCACTTACTCCCTCCCAAGAACTAAGGCTGTGGCCGTCATCGACACTCCCTCCCTCCCAAGAGCCACCGAGGCGGCGACTGCTATTGTCACTGACTGTCTCCCCAAAGTCGCTAGTTCGCGGGTCCCGGACGTCACTGACTCCCTCCCAAGTACTACTGAGGCGGAGGCCACGGTCTTCTCTGGCTGTTGCCCTGGAGTCGCTAGTTTGGTGGCCTCCAAATTCACTAAAATTCACGTCGCTGCTGCAGAAGCCGCGGTCTACCCCAACCCTCTCCAAAGAGCTGCTGTGACTGTGGCCGCTATCTCCCCTAACTCCCTCCCGAGAGACGCTGCGGCGGTGGCCGAGGTCTTCACAGACGCTTCTCAAGTCACTGTGGGAGAAGCCGGCGTCTCCACTTAGGCTTTCCGTAGCGACCCTGGAGCGGCGGTCGCCCTCTTCATGTTTTCTCCCCCGATTGTCTCTAACTCTTTCCCTTGACTCGGTGCGGGAATGGCCGTGTCGGCTGCTTATCCTCCACACGTGGTGGCTAGTGCGACGGCCGCCGTCTTCGTCTGCTACTCCCCGCGAGTCGCTGTGGCGGCGGCCGCCTTGGTCTGGTACCTTCTCAGGGTCGCTTTCCAGCCTCCCGACTCCAGCCGCTTGACTGGAGAAGCTGCAGGGTCGTCGCCTTAGAAACCAGTAAACTTCCGACGCGCTGAGGTCATTTCCTGTTACTCACGGCTACGTCACTTCCGGTTTCCTTTCCTCCAGGTTTTTCTCATCTTTTAGTCCGGACAAATGGGGTGCTGGTATGAACTGGTTTTTGGTGAAATTCGGCTCGGTCTCACCCGAGCCTATCTAGGTCCGTCTCTGGAGTAGCCTGTCATCGATCGCGCCCTCCATCGCTCAGCGACACAAGTGGAGGCCCCAGGACTGCAGTCTGCGTAGGTGACCTGTGTGGCGCGGGTCGGGCGGGGCCTTTTTGTCTTTGAGCAAACCCAGTATACTTTCTCAGTGGTGGTTGGAAGGAAATATGTTACCCTGTCATTTCGCAAGTATGGAAAAAGACCTAAAAGAGAATTTAGCAGCTGCAACCGCTGTTTTTATTGAGTTCTAGCGGGCCAATCTTAAATAATGGCTTGTTAGGTGTTACCCATATTTTGAGACTCTATATATCGGTATTTCGTTAAGGCCAGGCAGCAGGTAAGTTGTAAAACCAATATAAAAACATAGGTCACTGGTCAAAAGACTGCTTCAGGTCTCCTGACTCCAAATCCGAGATTCCTTTCACGGTAGCGTGTTTACTGCTTAAATATTTCTCTTCAACCCCATTGCTTAACAATAGGAATGAATTCTTTTACTATTTATTGCAAACATATGGGTCATAGCATCTGAAAATACAGAAATTAGTAAGAATTCTCTGCCCTCCAGGGGCATCACCAACTTGGATTCCCCTCTCAGCCCAGTTTTTCCACCCTATTGCCTTCTCCCTTCAGGAATAATGAACTGGTCCTGGAAACATACCATGCTTTATCATATCTCTCTGCCTTGTCATGTGCTGTTCCTCTTACCAGGAAACTACCCTGCCTTTCCCCCAGTTTTGTTCTGTGAACGCGTTTGGGAAATTATCCTGATGATACCTCTACTCTCTTGAGGTACAGTAAATTGTCTTTGACTTCCATCACCTTTTGTAATATTACTAATTGCCGTTTATTGAGTTCATGTGATCAGCCTGGCACTGTACTAAGTGCTTTATATTAGTTTTCTTGTTCTTTTTTCACACCAACATGAATGAGTTTGAGTCAGTTCTTATAACCTGCCAGAATAAGTATTCCTGTTCCTCTTTACAGAAGGAGAAATAAGAAACAAAAAAGTTAATTGCTTTAGGATACACTGCTAGTAAGTAGTAAATACCTGACTTAAGATTCCAACCTAGATCTTGGATTTTGCTGCAGGATTTCCTCAAAGTGTCTGAATTCCCACAACCTTTTTTTAGATCACTTATAACATCGTATTATAATTATCTGTTTAACAATTTTTTCTCACCCCTCAAGGACCCTGAGCTTCTGGAAGGTAGGGACTCTTATCTTATCATCTTGACATTTCTGACATCTAAAATACTTCATTTAAGAGAAGGGCTTAGTAACTGTTGTGTGGGTGAGTGAGTGGGTTGATCAATTGACTGTCAGGCAGGTGAACAAGTAGGCTGAAGATAGTTTTTCACTGTTGGAAGTGAATTTGGGATTAGTCATCCTAATCCCCTCACTTTAGAAATGGGGCAACTGGGCCGGGCACAGTGGCTCACGCCTGTAATCCTAGCACTTTGGGAGGCCAAGGCGGGTGGATCACCTAAGGTCAGGAGTTCAAGACCAGCCTGGCCAACATGATGAAACCCCGTCTCTACTAAAAATACAAAAATTAGCCAGGCATGATAGCAGGAGCTAGTAATCCCAGCTGCTCAGAAGGCTGAGGCAGGAGAATTGCTTGAACCAGGGAGGCAAAGGTTGCAGTGAGCCAAGATCGCACAATTGCACTCCAGTCTGGGTGACAAGAGTGAAACTCTGGCCAGGCATGGTGGCTCACGCCTGTAATCCAAGCACTTTGGAGGCCAAGGCGGGCGAATCACCTGAGGTCGGGGGGTCAAGACCAACCTGACCAACATGGTGAAACCCCATCTTAAAAAAAAAAAACTATTTAAAAAAAAAAAGTGAAACTCCATCTCAAGAAAACAAAACAAGAAATGGGGCAACTGAGGCCTTTTGTATATGAGGCATTTCTCGAGTTACTAATGTGGGACAGTTTCTATGATAAATGATTTGCAAATACTATCCAACTTAATCTGTATTGTTATTTTTATTTTTACAGATGAAGAAACAGCTCAGATTTGACCAAGATCACATAAGTAGGAGTTGAGGAATTGGAACCCACTATGACTGACTCCAAATTAATATAGTGTTTATAGCCACTTACATAATAATGGTAAAGGTTTTATTTTTTCACTATACAATATGTAGTAGATAAACTTACTGAGGAAACAAGACAGCACATGACATGTCTTAAAGGATACACACATGACAGGAAGGATTAGAAGAGGAAACAGAAACAGGTAACAGAGAAGCAGAGAGAGATAGTACAATCTCCTAAAATAAAAATAGAAGGAATTAAAAATAAAAGCAGAGGCCTAGCACAGTGGCTTATGCATGTAATCCCAGCACTTTGGGAGGCTGAGGCAGGTGAATCACTTGAGGTCAAGGGTTTGAGACCAGCCTCCCCAACAAGGTGAAACCCAGTTTCTACTGAAAATACAAATATTACCCAGCTGTGGTGGTGCACACCTGTAATTCTGGTTACTGAGAGGCTGAGGCAGGAGACTCGCTTGAACCCAAGAGACAGAGGTTGGCATTGAGCCAGGATTGTGTCCTTGCACTCCAGCCTGGGTGACAGAGCAAGACTCCATCTCCAAAATAATAAGCAGAAGTTATTGAAATAGAAAATGAAATTGATAGTAATTAGCTGGTCTTTGAAAAGAACAATAAATAGACACTCAGCAAATCTGAGGAAGAAAAGGAAAGAAAATGGTATTGGAAACAAAGGAGGCCATGGAGGGACGATGGCTTGAGCCCTGGAGGTTGAGGCTACATTGAGCGATGATCGCACCACTGCACTCCAGCCTGTTCAACAGAGCTAGACACTGTCTCAGAAAAAAGGAAAGAAAGGGCAAAGGAACATTTTACAAATGAGAAGGAGACTTTGAAAATCAGAAGCAAATTATTTTGTGTAAAGTTGTACAGGTTGAGTACCTCTTATCCAAAATGCATAGGACCAGAGTGTTTCACATTTTGGATTTTGGAGTATTTGCATATATATAATGAGATATCTTGGGTATGGGACCCCACATTAAACATGAAATTCATATGTTTTATGTATACCTTATACACATAATCTGAAGGTAATTTTATACAACATTTTAAATCTGGTACATGAAACAAAGCTTATGTTAAGTATTTATGTGTGGAATTTTCTACTTGTTGCATCATGGCAGTGCTCAAAAAGTTTCAGTCTTCAGTACGTTTAGGATTTCGGATTTTCAAATCAAGAATGTTCAACTTGGCCAGGCACGGTGGCTCACACCTATAATCCCAACACTTTGGGAGGCCAAGGCGGGTGGAACATGAGATCAGGAGTTCAAGACCAGTCTGGCCAAAATGGTGAAACCCTGTCTCTACTAAAAATACAAAAATTAGCCAGGCGTGGTGGCAGACACCTGTAACCTCCGCTACTCGGGAGGCTGAGGCAGGGAACTGCTTGAACCCAGGAAGCAGAGGTTGCAGTGAGCTGAGATTGCGCCACTGCACTCCAGCCTGGGCAACAGAGCGAAACTTTGTCTCAAAAAAAAAAAAAAAAAAAAAAAAAACACCTGGCATGGTGGTGCAGTGAGCCGAGGTCGTGCCATTGTACTCCAGCATGGGCAACAAAAGTGAAACTCCATCTCAAAAAACAATGTTCAACCTTTGGGAGGCCAAGGTGGGTGGATCACTTGAGGTCAGAAGTTCGAGACAGCCTGGCCAACATGGCAAAAACCCATCTCTACTAAAAATACAGAATTTAGCCAGGTGTGGTACACGCCTGTAATCCCAGCTACTTGGGAGACTGAGGAAAGAGAATCACTTGAACCCGGGAGGTGAAGGTTGCAGTGAGCCAAGAAAAAGAAAATTCACTTGGCTGATTTTTTCAGGAAATACAAATTTCAAAAAATTGACTCGAGTCAAAAAACTAATAAACTGATAATTATAAAAGAATGTCCTAAAGTAGTTTAATCCCCATTATGTGTCACCAGGAACAAAGCATAGAGAAGGATGGAGTACTTCCCAATTATAAAGTTAGCATAATCCTAACAGCTCTAACCGTGTCAAAAATTTAAATTCACATTGCCTGTGAACCAACTGGTTGTTAGATCTTCAAAATAACTTGCTTTGTTGCATGTAATATGATAGTCACCATAAAACTTCGTAATTGTAAATAATTAGAAATTTGAATATCCATCAGTAAAAGAACAACTAAATTATGCTGCATTCCTCATACAAAATACTATGCAGTGGTAGAAATGCAGATCTACATGCATTAATCTACATGGAAAAAGTTGTAAGATACAGGCAGTGAAAAATGGTGCAAAACAATACATATGTGATTTCATTAAATTTTTAAAATATTTTTCTAATTCTACACTGAATTGTTACCTCGGTCATTGTATAGAGCAAGAAAGAGGGTGTAAAAGGAGACTGTATTTTGTATTTGTATTATTGGATTTTAAAAATGTTAATCCTAAGTAAAAATATAGAAGCACAGAAAAATGTACCATTCCATAAAGCAAAAGGAAATAGTTCTAAAGTGTTTGTGGGTGGGTGCAGTGACACACCTGTAATCCCAGCACTTTGGGAGGTTGAAGTGGGTAGACTGCTTGAGCCTAAGAGTTTGTGACCAGCCTGGCCAATATGGTAAAACCCTGCCCCTACTAAAAATACAAAAATTAGCCGTGCATGGTGGCACGTGCCTGTAATCCCAGCTACTCAGGAGGCTGAGGCAAGAGAATCACTTGAATGTGGGATTGGAGGTTGCAGTGAGCCAAGACTGCACCACTGCACTCCAGCCTGGGCAACACAGCAAGTCTCTGCCTCAAAAAGAGTGAAAGTGAGTGTGGTTCAGAAGAGATTAAGAAGCTAAGAAACGCACACTGGTTTTAACAAGGAGACATTGATAATACTAAGAGTAATTTTAATATAAAAAGGTAAGATACAAAATCAAGACTGCACAGGATTTCAAGGTAAGTGCCTGACTATGGAAGAAGTTTCTTAAGTGAAACAAGGTTCAGAATACATCCTGGTGTGGTCATCTCAGTATTCCCAGGAATTGGACCTTTTGTGAGTGGGAAGCTATGATTTTGATTAGTAAATAAATATGACCAACCTCAGTTTTGCCGAAGTGGGATGATAAAGCAGGTTATCATAAATCAACATTTTTTATCTTGTTTCAGAGAAGGGAACAGGGCCAACCCCAGGCCAAAAAAAAAAAAATGAAGTGGGTATTGGTGACAATCTCTACTCCTTTCTGCCATTTTCTCTTACTTTCTAGTCATCCTTGTTCTCCCTTTGGTGCCCACTCCCAAATCCTCACTGGGGTACTTCATGGGTACCTTTTTGACTCTTATTTAGCTTACCCTTCCACACATGCTCAACACAATGCCCGTTATCTCTGAGAGCTGACTCCATTTAGGATTAGGAAAAAACTCCCCAGTTCTACAAGAGATCAGATCTTCCTTGAGAGCAGTCTTTAGTTTCCATTTCTGCCTCCAGTCAGCTACATTTTTCCACTTGCAGCATGGTTAGATGCCTCCTTAGATTTTCCTGAATATTTTGTATCAACTTCCACTGGTTACTTAGTAGGTACTAAGTTGTAAGGTCAGTCATAAAAAAAATAACAGAATTTTCTATTTTAGGTTAAGCTGTTAATATGAGAATGTTTTAATTTTTATGCATATAATTCCTTATTTTTCTTCCCAAAGCTTTTTATTTTTAGCTGAATTGCAATGAGATTGCTTTCTATTTTCCGAAACATCAAAGTTGGAAGTTTTCAGTGGGAAAATTACACTAAAACCAGGAGGATATCAATTTAATGAAATCTCTAGATTTTAGGAAACATGCTATTTTATTTCTTCTCTCAAACTTCAACTTGTAAGACAGTGTTCATCATCTCTGAGGCTTCGTTTAGCTTTCCTTATTGCACTTTACAGTGTTAGATTACTAATTCTAGCTAACAGTGCTATATATTTTGACTCTTTCTATCTTTGGGGATGCTCTTGATCTGATGTTGATTTCTGAATTTACCAGATCTGGCTATTCATTAGAAACAACTGTGGAGCTTCTTAAATACTAGAAGTGCCCCCTGAATGAGAATAAACTAAATGAGACTTTCCAGAGATTAGGAATCTCTTAATATTCACTAATTCTAAGCCAGCGCTGGCAGTGGTGTGTACCTGTAATCTAGTTACCTGAGAAGCTGAGGTGGGAGACTGGCTTGATCCCAGGAGTGAGGCTAATCTGGGTAACATGGTAAGGCCCCATCTCTAAATTTAGTATTAAAATGTTTTAAATTCTTGTATGTAATTCTAATGCACAGCCAAATATGGGGCAGATCTAAATCACTGCCCTCCATCTGGCTGCCTACCTCAAAGAATTGAACTCAATCCCAACTGTAAATACTAGTGGCCATCTTGGAGAACACTGGCCCACTTCCATTCCAAAGCTAATCCATCTGTTTCTGTTTTTTACATACAGTGTCCTGCTAGTTTTTCATATATTTGGTAGAGATGGAGTTTCACCATGTTGCCCAGGCTGTTCTCGAACTCCTAGATTCAAGCAGTCTTAATCCTCCCAAAGTGCTGGAATTACAGGCATGAGCCACTGCCACTGCTCAGCCCCTCCTGTGCTATTGTTGATGCTATCTCCTTACAACCTTAATACTGGTAGTCCAGTCATTTCCACTGAGCTCCTTTTAACATACTAATATCTCTCCTGTTTGTCTAACTACAATTTAATCTCTGGAGTTAAACTTCATTTAAAAACTAGCTTTTAATAGTTGTTACCTCTCATCCACACTACCCATTGCACCAGGTGTTGGCACCCATACTCAGCGGTTCCTAGGTCAACAGTATTTTTCAATCTTAGATGTCTTCTTGACTTTTACTGGCTACCTTGTCCCTTGAAAATTTTTTTTTTTCCCCACACATGCCTGTAATCCCAGCACTCTGGGAGGCCAAGGCAGGCAGATCACTTAAGGTCAGGAGTTTGAGACCAGACTGGCCAACATGGGGAAACCTGTCTCTACTCAAAATGTAAAAGCCAGGTGTGGTGGCAGGCGCTGGCAATCCCAACTACTCGGGAGGCTGAGACCGGAGAATCACTTTAACCTGGGA